CGACCAATGTAAATTTGCCAGATGTTTTTAGTTCCGTCGGTAATAACTTTATCAATAATCAAATGACATTGGATTAACGTTGGTATTGCATCGGAAAAAAGAACCGACGTTCGCGATGGTTTTACATACGTTAGCCCAATGAAAGTGTGCTAGCTGGGTTGGGACAGCTAGGTAGGCTTTATAAGGATCCGTGCTAACCATGAACGGTAATATTTGAAAACTATTCTATTATAAAAAAATTATGTTAAAAATTTGATTTTTTGGATTGTTGTTTGTATATCATTAACTGTTACGTTTTGTAGGGCTCAAAATAAACGCCGGGCATCAAACATTGTCCGACACTTATTCAGTAAAAAACGACATCTATCGGTCATTTTGTCCAACATACATTTTATGTGTATTTATTTCTAATCATTTTAGTTGTTCCAAAATTAATATACATGACAAAATTGAAGTCAAGGTTAGAGTTTAGAAAATTTTGGAGCAGATACTAGGCATCATTGAACTCCTCTAATACCTGTAATTATGCAAAAAATTTCTTAGAAACTTGCTTTAATTATATTAAGACAGGGTCAGGTTTTGTCATTCGCTAAGGAGGGGGGCGTAAAAGTCTTTAAAAAAATGATTAGATCTGCATATTTTCATTTATAAATAAATTTTTTTTAATTTTTTGTTTTTGAGTCTAATAATCAAGTTCATAAACATATAGTTACGTATAAAAGTCAATTTCATTCGTCAGTATAATAGTCCAATTCTGTACCTCAAATAATACTAATCAACCAGCACGGATATTATTCGATAATTGTTAACAACTTAGTTACATCTTACCATCATTGCGAAGTAAACCTAATTTTAAAACGCTAGACACAAAGAGAAGCATTATTAATACATTTGGAAACCAGAGTGAAACCAAGGTTTTAGAAAGAGTTCAATTTAGTGTTAAATGTACTCATGGTTGTTTTGTTTTAATTTCTTGTTTTGTCAAAAACATATGTGCCCCCATAAATGGTCAAAATATTATTTTTTCTAATAGAAATTATAATCATCTAAAGGGTCTAACTTTGGCTGATGTTGTTGTCAATGGTCCGCAACTATAGGTATTCAGATAGGTGCAGATTTTGACTTGGAGTTCTTTGGTGATACAATTGTTCGTGGTAGTTCTGGGTCTGTTGCTTTGAAGTTTAATTTTGGTGGTTATGCGTTGTGTAGTTGTTCAGATAAAAAGACAGTAGATTTTTTTCTGTAAATACGGTACATATTTTAGAGGCTCAATCTGAATTTGTTGAGTATGAAAAAGTTTTGAAATCTATTTTTAGAGAAATGTGAGGTTATAAGGATAATTCTAAGGAAAATGATTTATTATTAGATGATTTTGAAGAAATCACTTGTTTTGATGAAAGTTTGGATCGTGATGTGGTTAATTTACCATTTTTACAACTACAATTTTGGGGTGATCATTTTATATTACCTGATAACTATTTCTTATGTGTAAATTAAGTACATTCTTTCAAAACACGGTTTTTAAAGAAATAGATTTGTTCAATTCATATAATGATTTTATTAAAGGCCAATTATCTCAAGGTATCTTTAAAAAAGTTTTAGGTAATGATTTGAATGCTAAAAATGTAAATTGTTTGCCTCACGGACCGGTGTAACGTGATGATAAAGTTACCACTAAAGTTCAAATGGTATTTGATGCCAGTGCAAAATATATGATCCTGTAGGACTTATAAATCGAATTTGTTGTTAAGCTAAAATTATTATTTCAGAAGTTGAACATTTCTAAATTAAGTTTAGATAGTTATCTTGAAAAGAAAACTTACTAAAATGGCAAAAAATTAATAATTTACGGTTAGCAGGTAGTATAAATTAATTACGATGGTATATTACGCATTTAGATATACCCCTAAATAGGTTAGAACTGCACGGATTAGCAGACGCTAATAATAAGGCTTACAAGTGTTTACCATAGTTTTTTTATTGAAACTTCAATTGAAAAATTTCTCTTCTATTTTAATAACTTCTAAGTCTAGAGTTGCCTCAAGTCAACATAACCTCGCCCCGAACTCAGTTCTAATCAGCTGTTAGCTGAGTTGTTATACGATATACAAAATGAACTTAAACCTGTATATGTTATTTATAAAGTTACTTATTAGACGGATTTTAAAAAATGACTTCATTGGATTAATAATACAGCAAAGAAATATTATGTTTTTGTGCAAAATAGGCTTAATTATATTAGAAGTTTAAATGATATCATATCACGGAAGTATGTCAAATCCAATAGAAACCCAGCAAATATTATTTCACGTGGCTGTTTTTTAACTGATTTAAAAACAGACTATACGATTTCATGGAACTGACTTTCTCAATAGCTGGAAAATTCAATGGCCAGTTTATAAATATTTTCAGGATCATTAGGAAATATCAGATTTAACCTGTTTTATTGATAATACTGTTTATAATACGGATTATTTTTTATAGATATTTCGATGTTTAATATGTATGGTAAATTTTTGCGAGCTATATCGTAGATATTACGTTTCATTAAAAATTTCAAAGAAGAATTAATAAATCAATTTCGTTGAATTCTTTGATATTATCAAATGAAGAATTAGACAATGCCAATACTTTATGGATAAAATACATCCAGCGTGATGTTTTAACAAAACCTTGATTTAAACAACTATTTAAATTTAAGACTTATTTTTTTTTATTTTTTTTATTTGTCATTAAAAAAAAAAGAATACAATGTCGTGTTATATAAATAAAATCTACATGACCGGGGATAAAAGAAGACAATATTTGCCTTATCACTACACCCCGACGTGCTTTTATTAGCAAACATGTATAACCATTAAAATGTAAACATAAAACATAAAATTACTTTGTACCATTTAAAAATTATATAAAAATATGTACAAATATGTTAAAATCAGTTACTAATCTATAATCAAAAGAAAACCATAAAAAAAAAAAAAAAAAAGCAATCACACCTAAAAACTGAAAATAAGTTAATAGGATAATTTAAGGAAAATTTAAGTTGGTTAGACTAGTTAATAAAATAGTTGTTAAAAAAGAAGATAAAAGAATCTTAAAAAGAATTAAAGAAGTGGGTAGCATTGTTCGTTGTCAAGAACGATTGGAATATGCACCATTATCATACAATGCTAAACTTCCAAAAATCTTACCTCTCAAAATTTATTTTTCGAAGATTTTTATCCGGTAAACTCATGTCCTTGTAAAACATAGTGGTATTAAAGAAACTCTTGGGGAACCGCAGAATAGATACTGGGTCTCCAAGGCGAGGTCCCTAATAAATAGTATAATTTTATTTGCAAAATGTTTCAAGGGAAACCATATTTTTACCCTCCATCTCCACCCTTTTCGGTAAGTAAGCTAAATCGTCACTACGCTTTTAAAAACACTGGGTTTAATATGCTGATCTCTTATATGTCAAATCTTTAGATATTTCAAATACTAATATTATAGTATCGATATTTAGTTCACATGTTGCTGTTCTCGTGCTTTTATTTTAGATTTAGATCATAATGCTCTGCAGCAAGTGCCATTCGTTGTCTTTGAAGATTTTTTGCGTGGCAAGAGGTTTTAGAGATTGTATTTGACAACGGCTCACAGTTTGCTTAAGAAGAAACACAAGCTTTTTTTACACCAACGGCAATCAAATGGCAATTCAAAAGTAGCAAAGGCTCAATGGCAATTGAGCGAATTAAATGGCGATTTAAAAGTAGCAGCGGCTCAACTTCGCTGAGGCTCCCTGATGTGGACGAAATATTTGAAAAAAAATAGATTAATAAAACGCTGCTTAAAAAGATACTAGCTAATTCAAGAATAACTATGTTATTGACGCATTTCTGATCAAGATGGAAAGACGAGTATTTGAAGAATTTGCGAGAATATCATAAATCTTCTAAAGTTAAAGACTCAGCTATAATTAAAAATGACAATTTAGTTTTAATCGACAATTCCCCTAAATCTCGCATACATTGGAAAGTTGGTATTGTTGAAGACATTAAAAATTTGAAAAATAATGAGTTAAGAAGTCCCACAGTAACATATATTCAGAAAAGTAGCTGTCAAAAAGTTAATATACCTGTATAGAGTAGCTGTCAAAGAGTTAATATACCTGCTTTATCCGATTAAATGTGCTACAGAACAAGTTAAAAATAAACTGAAAGTACAATTTGTGGACGAAGGACTAGTTCCGTTTTGTGTAAATGGCTCTTTGACGGGGGAAGTGTTGCCATAATGCTCAAATGCCTGTCATGTATTAGAGAGTTTTAGCATACAAGCGTTATGTTGAGACAGTGGTAGGAATACAAAAGAATTTCTCGTAAATAATTAATTAACTTAGGAAAACTTCCTTCCTTACGCATCGCGTTTAAAACGTACGTTAGAAATTTTATGTCTTGCCAATGCTTAAAAACGTAAAAGACATGAATAACTAATGAGTATAAAACTTATACTTTTGTTTTGAATGACTTTCTTAAATATTTTTGAGGGTAAAGTCCCCCTTACTCCTAATGTCATCTTTAAATTTTAGGTAAACTTTAATGCAGATTTTCCAGTATATTCGCTTTGATTGTTTATAGAGCAGATTAATCTTGAATCGCTCTTAAAGTTGTTTTTAAAAATGTTTTTGAAAATTCTTAAGAATAAAAATTAACTAAAAATTAATGACTTAGAACGCGCGTGTTGAGAGTTTTTCATTCTTAACATTTTTAAAATTTGCCGTGGTAGCAAACTTGCTGGCGTTTGTACTAACACCGCCTGGAGATAACGTTTGTATGCTTAAACTGTCTATTTTTAGTTTTTGCGTGAGATTTTTATCACGTGATTGCAATGCGAATTTGTTAATTGTTTTATAGCATTTCGTAGCCATAGTCATTCCTCGTATCTTTACGCATTTCGAAGCGATAGTCATTCCTCGTATATTCTTGCAGTAACATTTATAAGGAGAGAAAGCTAAGATATCTATAGCAATAAACATGTAATTGTATCCTTGTTGCTCTTATACCCAAATACAATAACTTGTACACTTATGTAAAAAAAATGTCAATACATAAAAGAATACAATCTTATATTACTAATATCATTTAGTTGTATAAGTATTTGTTGCTATCGACAAAAATAATATAAGTTTATTTATTCCATTTGACTCGTAACGTCCACAAGCTTGATGAACTGTTGCGATAAAACAATCCTTCTGCGTTTCCTAGTAAAAAAATAACAGAAATAAAACAATAGTTATAGTTAGACAGATTCGCGTATTAAAATGCTCGTAAATAAAATCTGCGGAAAGTTTTTTTTTTTTTGAAAGAATCTTTTTTGTTAAAACAATCATTCACAGTTTGTCACTACCATATTGTTACTAAAGTTAAAACTTGTCACCATAAAGACTTTTATTATGATTATATTAAAAAACAAATATAAAAAAAGCACATACATAGATCTTTTTTGTATATCTACAAATTGATAACAAGAATTAAAGTATATGTACTTTGACGCAAAAAAAAATCCCTATCTGCGTTTGACACACAAATTTATTAATTTAATAATTTTTTTATTCTTTATATTTTTATGATACTTAAATTTTCATGACTTCTTCTTTACTATGCTGTAAAGTTTCATGACTTCTTTGTCGTATTTTCCGTTAAACTGCATCAATCAACCATTACAATCCAAATAAAAAAAAAAAAAACAATTATATTTTGAAGTCCATGGTGACCAAAAAAAGGGTCATCCATGAAATACATACGAAGTAAAACTACGGATTAAAGACTCCTCTGCGCTTATATGCCTTCAATGAACTTTTCCCGTTGCGTAGGTACGCATCATTTGTTACGAAATTAGCCCCCTTTCTCAGTGAATAAATACTTAAAAACAAAAAAACTTTCACTTTATTTGACATTTCTATGTTACATAACATAATATTGATTTTTTAAACTTTAAATTAAAAAGAAAAGAGTTCAAGATTTTAGGAGAGATTAAGAACGAAAGATATACTCTAAGAATATACACTTTAAAACAGTGTACGTACACGCTGCCTTTAACACCCTGTACGTATATGTGCACTTTATGGTCACCCCACCTAACCTTCTGAATTCAAGTATTTGTGATTAAGGTATGATCAGGTGTTATCGGTCATATGTTTGAAGATTGGTTCCGGACAACCTAATCCGCTTACATATTAAAAATAAGCAACTTTTTTGTATAAATAATAATTAGTATAATTCACAACATAATAATAGTATTTTATTTTATTCCATTAAAAAGGCCTATGATTTGAAAAAAGTGTTTTTAAAGTTTTTATTTTCATTGGTAAAAAGCTAAATTGTTTTTATTTAAATGATGACATTTTCATTATTATTGCTAAAGTCGCTATTTTTTTCAAACTTGTTAAAAAAAGTACAATACTTAAGGGGCTTGGTAATACGACTGAACTTGTCAAAATATATACATTTTAGATTTTATGAAATAAAACCACTAGTTTTTAAAAAAAAAAAAATTAAGGTTTTATATTGTACTACCATGTTACAACGCTTGCTTTATAAGCAGGAGATCCAGGTTCGAAACGAGCCCTGGACATATTAATCTAAAAGTTTATTTAAATATTTATGGCATACTATTTATGGGACAGAAAGTAAATTTGATCGTTGGGTGGATGGCATTCATAAATTCGAAAACTTGTGTTAGTATCTCCGGAGGCCCATGAAAAATAAAAAATATATTATCTATAAAACGTTTATAAAAAGAAATCCACATTGGAAATCGGTAAGTTATTTTCTCATCAATTCTTCCCTAAAATAAATTAGCATAGGGCGTGGCCATACGTGTCCCCATGGTAGCACCTGTTAATTGTAAAAAATGATCAGTCGAAAATTGAAAGTTGCTGTGGGTTAGGATGGTTTCTAATGTAATGTCAATAAAAGCAATAGGTGGGCGTTATATGGGTCCGTTAAATGGCGGGGCTCTCTTTAAATAAAATTTTACGGCGTCAATACCTTCGCGACGAGAAATGTTTGTATACAAAGATATAACATCAGCCGTGACAAGAATGTAATTGTTGGTTTCTAGTACATGAAATTAAAGGAGTTTAAGAAATTGTGTTGTGTCTTTAAAGTATGTTGGTAATTGTTCAGCAACTGGCTGAATAAATTCTGTGATAAAGAACGATAAGTTTTCGATTGGTCACAACAAGAAATAAATGGTCTTAAGAAAATGCCTATCTTATGAATCTTGGGAAGGCCATAAAACAGGGGTGTACAAAGGGGTGTTTTTGGTCGTAGAAACTCTGATATTTTTTTTATCAATCATATGATGAAGAAACATATAGTCAATAAGATTGTTAACATTTCTCGCTATACTTTTTGTTGGATCTTCTGAGAGTAGTTTATATGTATTTTTATCTGATAAAAGTAGAGAGATCTTCTCTTCATAGTCAGTTTTGTGTTAATTTTTTAACTTTAAATTATCTTCACTAGTTTTCTATTGTCTCTTACTTGTCTACATGTCTCTTATCTGTTGTGTTTGGTTATTACAGGTATCTTTGGTAAAATATTTTTCATAAAAACTTTGGCAAATAAAATTCGCCGAATGGTCACACACGAGTAGTGAACGCCCGAGGGAAGAAATGAAGTACACTAGAATAAAGGAGAATTATTTATCGAACGAAGCATACTTTGACAGTTGTCAAGACAAAAATAAAGATTAATAGAGGAAAATTTCAAAACAAATAAGACAGACAACGCACACAAGCAGTACTCACAATAATAATAACAAAAAAATTGTTTCATAAAAACATACGAAATACGAAAGAAGATATACAACAAATATATAACCAAACAAAAACTTAAAAAACCAAATAATAGATAAACAAAAAACTTAAAAAACTAAAAAATTGATAAACAAAAACAAAAAATATGCATACAACAATGTAAGGGCTCAGAGTGAAAAAAAAACATCAATGCTAATGTCTAAACATAATTAATGTAGTGATAAAGAGTCGTGTCTATTATTACAGGCGTTTTGATGAGGATCAGCATTTGTAACTAATTTATCCCGTCAGACAAACGTCATCGCCTTTTGTGCTGTACGCCTCGACTTACGCCTTATCCATACTGCAATAAAAAAGGACTCGCTACAATTAGCCAAAACCCAACCATACCCAAGTTTGTAAAACACTAATATTTTTTTAATGAGATGAAGTGTAGATCTACTGTACAATATAAATAAAAATAACTACATAAATCACTTACCATACCACCGAAAGAAAACATGAAAAAACAATAAATTAAAATTGTAATAGAAACATAAAAATATCAATAAATTCATTTTAAGATATAAAACCAAAAGTTCTTCTTGCCCCAACTGATTTAATAACGTTTTCAAGAAAACGTAAAAAAATAATAAACAATCTAAACATCTGTTCTGATCGACTTGTGGATGATTATAAAATGAAGTCAAACTTTGGTATCATCCGTGGGCTTTGAAGGAAGTTAATTTTAAATTTAACATCCTTCAAAACCAGAACAAATTGTTTTTTCTTTGAATTTTTAAATATCAAAAATATGTTTTTCAATAACCAGTAACGATTTTTACGCCTACTTTTGCAACAGAGTATTGAAAAATCTGTAACTAGAGTCTAAACCAATAAATATACTTTTTTGTTGCCCAAAATTTAAAAAAATAACAATATAATTACTTATGTTTTGAGTTCATCTTTACAAATAAACATACGAAGTTTTAAAATAAATAAAATATATTGCGATAATAACAATAATAAAAGTTAAGAAATATTAAGACAACTAAAATAATATTGTGTGAAATACAGTTTTATATTACTAACAATTTTATATTACTAAATCAGTAAACTAATAGCTATCTAGAAAAATTACAGTGTTTTATACAGAACTAAGTTCAAAATAATTTTAAAGCTCCAATATCTTTACCAGAATTGTCTTCATCTTCGTCGTGTGTGCTTGTTAACACATTTATTGCAGACATTAACAAAGCTGATAATACTTGATTTGGTATTGGTTAAAAAGTTCAAGATTTTACCATTTATTAGCGTCATATATATCTTATGACAAGCTTTTTAAATTTTCCTAGTACTTCAAAATCATTCAATTTTTCAACTTACTCTTTTTTCTTTCAAACATGTTCTTTAGCTTACTTTCTATACTCAAGCTTGAGTGGCATGCGAAATTGTATTGATTACAGAGCTTCATTTTACGGAAAAAAAGGTTATTATTTGCAACTAATGCAATATCAATGTAGTTGCGAGTAAGGAGTTATTTGATTTAACACCTTGACTAGCAGTTTCTAAATTTTGCACCATTCAGTCGCATATTCAGATGTTGTTTGCTAAGATTGCTTTTAAACTTTAATTTTTTATACAGCAGAGGAACCCCTACTTCCTAAGCTGTGTATGCAACTCATTTTTTGAAGTATAAGGCATCATTTTTATATTGGAAAGACGACTGGGACTCCTATTTACTTCTTTTAACTGCAGCAGTTTCATTGTTTCGTGATTGGCAGGCATTAATATGTTTTGTGACATGCACAATTAATTTAAAGTCATGTTGTCGTTTTTCTTTTGAAAAATGAACTGCTTATCTCCCTCTCAATTGCAATGATTGTTCTTGTTAAGAAAGACGTGGACAACTCTGGCTCAGGTGGTAAAACAATATCATCTTCTGCGTCGAAATGATCAAAAACAGTTCAACCAGTAACCAATTTGTACACTCTGATTTAGATTTATCAAAGCTTCTACATTAAAGCTTCTACATTAAAGCTTCTACATTAAAGCTTCTACATTAAAGCTTCTACATTAAAGCTTCTACATTAAAGCTTCTACATTAAAGCTTCTACATTAAAGCTTCTACATTAAAGCTTCTACATTAAAGCTTCTACATTAAAGCTTCTACATTAAAGCTTCTACATTAAAGCTTCTACATTAAAGCTTCTACATTAAAGCTTCTACATTAAAGCTTCTACATTAAAGCTTCTACATTAAAGCTTCTACATTAAAGCTTCTACATTAAAGCTTCTACATTAAAGCTTCTACATTAAAGCTTCTACATTAAAGCTTCTACATTAAAGCTTCTACATTAAAGCTTCTACATTAAAGCTTCTACATTAAAGCTTCTACATTAAAGCTTCTACATTAAAGCTTCTACATTAAAGCTTCTACATTAAAGCTTCTACATTAAA